CGGTATTCCTGGAGAAGTTCCCGACGGGGAACTGCCCTGCAACCCAGCCAGCAGCGGGCAAAGACGCTGTTGCGTTCACGATGGCCTGTACGGCGGCTGAAAGAAGTGCGCTGCACAATCTGTCGAAGGGCGAAACAGTCACCATTAGTCCAACTGAGAATCCACTGGGCGAGTCCGGCGAGTGTGAGTTCCCAACCTCCAGCCCACCCGCGGCTGAAGCGCGGTCTCTACCACAACAACCTCAGAGCCCACAGACACCAGCCGGCCCACAGGCACCAGCACAATCATCGCCGCAGCAACCGCCACCACCTTCAGCCCCCATCAAATCTGAGCACGAGGGCAATCCATCAGGCGTCAGTCGGTCGGAGCCTAAAGAACCCATTGCTGCTGCAGGGCTGCCAGGCACCGTGGCGGGTCCCACAGGAAGTCGGGAATCATCGGCAGAAGGTCTTCAGAAAACAACGACGCCATCGCTTGGCACTGCGAGTTCGTCAACACAGACAACAGACAGGGCAGCAGAAGGACCCGGAGGTACACAAACACCTTCAACCCCCCAAGGCCGATCTGGCACGCCCAGCCCCGCCACTTCCGCCGGCGGCAACGATGCAACCACCACCACAGCGGCGATCACCACCCGCAGTCCGAGTGATGGGAACGACGCGAAAAGCAACGCGGACGGCAGTGCCACCAACAGCAACACCACTCAGAAAGCCGTGGCAAATGCTGCGGATCGCAGTGCCACCTCCACTTCTTTTGTGCGTGCACCTCTCATGCTGCTGCTCACGGCTGCCCTTTCCTGCGCTGCTGCGTAAGTGGTGAGGGGCAAAAGGTACACACCCACCCACACCCTGGCAGGGACGACGCGTACGCTTTGTGCGCTCATTTTGCTTGTCGTCCCTGTGGGTCAATCCTCTCCCTCCTGTGCTCTGAGGGAATGTTACTTTTTTCTTTTGCTTCGCCACCCCATGCACGTTTCCACGGGCGGCGCACCGTTTTCCCCCTCCTGTTTGCGGCTGCCCCCGCACACACACACACGCGGTGTCGGTCGCATTGCTGTGCGTCGCACGGAGTCCCCAAACGAGGCACGGGACCGCTGCCACTGTGAGGCGCAAACGTGATGCGTGTGCCTGTGCGTGTGGTTGTGTGTGCGGCCGGGGCAATTGTTTCTTTTTTTATTCATGCAGGTAACAAAATATACATGCATCTCTCACAGTCCTCTTGTGCTGCGGGACACGTGAGGTGAAGGAACACCACCTGCCGAAGGAATTTCTTTTTCTTCTTTTCTTCTTTTTTCTTTTGGGGCTTCTGCGGGGTTTATTCATTTCTATTCCTTGTCTTTTTGTTGTCTTCTGCGGCCCGGGCGATGCCCACCGCTGCCGCCGCCGTGTGGGGTCGCGCCGTTATTAAATCCCTCTTCTGCCGGTGTGCCGACGCATCTCTGTGTTGCCTATTTCCCCCCCTTGTACTAACTCTTCTGTCCCCGCACACACGCAGGAGGGTAAGAGACCAAACGCTGCTCGTTGCCGCTGCGCGCTTTGAGGGCTTCGAAGTCACAGCAACAAACACACATCACTTCCATACAACCGTCGCCGCCTGCGCGGATCCACCGCTAGGAAGCGAGTGAGCGGCAGCGGCCCAACATGCCGCGGCGCCTGTTCTCTTCTGTGGCTCTGCTCCTCCTCCTTTTCATATGCTGCAGCAGTGGGTCTGTGCGGGCTGATGGGCCTGTCGCAGCGACCGCCATCGACCCATTTGCAGGGACAACAGTGGCATCCGATGCCAAGTGGGAGGACATAAAACCCACTGGGGGATCAGTCTGCTCGCTGCGCGTCCCCAGCCTCGTGGAGGTGAGCGGCGAGGTGTTTGCCGTTGCTGCGGCTCAGTGCAAGAAGGGTGACAGGGACGGTGGTGGCTTTGCTGGGATTGCGTCGAAGCACCTCAATAAAAGTGAAGATTATTCCACGGAGGTCTCGGAGGCGGACTCAAGTTCATTTGACGCACAGCTGCTAAACAGGGGCGCGGAGGTGACGGACGTAACGCAACCGACAACAATTGTGCACGGCAGAGATGTCTACATGCTGCTGGGAAACTACAGCCGTACGGCGCCTACGGATGAAGTTCCCGGCAAAACTGGCTGGAATCTTTTGCTGGTGAAGGGAACTGTCACTGGCGAGGATGGCGCGAAGAAACTCACATGGGGTAGACCCCATGCAGTGCAGCCTGAAGCCCACGCAAGTCTCAACTCCCTGACGCGGCTGGTTGGCGGCGGAGGCTCGGGCCTTGTGCTGAGTGACGGCACGCTTGTGTTCCCCATGCAGGCCACGGACAAGACGGCTGGGACGAGTGTTCTGCTGGTCATGCGCTTTACTGCGTCAGAGAAGAAATGGACGCTTTCGTACGATACGACCGGCGCGAGCTGCAGCGACCCATCCGTCGCGGAGTGGGAAAAAAAACACGTCCTCGCGATGGCTCCCTGTGCGGGAGGCTATTACGAGGTGCACGCGACCTCTTGGGGAGCGAGAAACTGGTTTGATGTGGGAGAGCCGATTTCCCGCGTGTGGGGCACCTCGCCGAGGCGCCAGGGGACGGGCACGGGCGT